AAGAAAAACTATATCACCTTCCTTAATGAATTTAACATTAACAATTTAACAAGCTTGAATAAAGATATGCTGCATATATATATATATATATATATATATATATATATATAGCCAGCATATTTTCATTCAAACAGGTTTGGTTAAATAATTTAGACATATCATGTCGATTAGTTTTCGTTGTGATCCTTTCAAGTTCACGGATTAATTTCTTGGTAGCCTTAAGACAGATGTCTTCCACCCTCCCCTCACCAATACTCGGGCAATCTCTCCTGTCGGTGCTTTGATATGAGCAGGCTCTGTATCAATTTTTCAACTGCTGTCTTTGCTAAAGATTAAATTTTAACCTCTAGTTGCGACAATGAATACAGTCTACCGTCTGAGTTGAATAATACTGACGTACTCGGCATCAGTTGAAATAGACTATACTCATTTGGATTACTCTATTGTGTAATTTATATGCGCTGTTATAATAAATACACTGAGCTCTTTTTCTGGATCAGTTTTAATATTTTATATTATTAGGATCCACTTGGATTATATACAAACGGATTTATTACTTGACGAATTCATATCTTCCTACCCCAAGAGCTTTTGTGCGAAAGTGAATGCAGCAGAATTTGAACTCAAATACTTTATACAAGCTTTCAGCTCGATATACATTGCACTCCTCGAACACACACACACACACACACACATATATATATATATATATTAGAAGAAATAGTCCTCGTGTGCTTCTTATAGTATGTAAAATAGGTAGTTAATGAAACAATGATAAACGAAAGAGTACCAATATAATCAGTACGAAAAACGTTTATTAAATATTAATTATTAACCATATGACAGAAATGAAGCACGGAAAAGTCAGGAACTTTCGGACACGCCTGTCTCCTTCGTCAACGAAGCGAGAAATAAACAGAGATGGGAATTACTCGCTGACATGTTTTTGCAGACGGTGTATTTTCTGGTGGAAATCATCATATTAGCAAAAACCCGATCTCTCTCTCTCTCATATATATATATATATATATATATATATATATATGATAGCGGCCTGGATTGAGTGAGTAGACAAGTTCGAATTCATTTACGTGCTTAGATGAGCCAGTAAACCGATTTAGTTGTCTTTCATCGTTGTTATATTTCGGTATTACCAATTTACGGTAATGTTTGTTACCTCTTTTTGGTGATGAATGTTCTTTTTAATGCTTTAATACAAATATGTATCCCTGTGAAAATATTTCTTAGTCTTTTTTTGTGTGTGTGTCTGTCTCTCAAAAATAAATGTATTTTTCTGTTTACTTGTTTATGCATCTTTTCTATAACAGATTGTGGAGTATCTGCTGGACAAGATCAAGGAAGAGAGCATCTACGAGGCTGCTTTGTTGGCTATCAATCTTGGCTATTCGAATATCGCCGAATCCATTCTAAAACATACGCGCTACCAGCAAATCTGGGCTCAGTTAAAATTGAAGTATTCTGACGGCAGCTACGGCCAAAACAAAGACCCAAAAATTCTGTTTTCTCAACGGACCACGCCCTTGATAAACGCAGCCCAAAACAACATGTGGGAGATTGTACAACTGTTGTTGAACCGAGGCGAAAGGATCTGCGTGCCCCATCATTTTAATTGTGGGTGCGAGAATTGCGTGGCTCAGATTCAATATGACCGTTTAAGATCTGCGAAAAGTCGGCTGAACAGTTATAGAGGATTGGCGAGCGAAGCGTATATCTCGCTGTCTAGCAAAGACCCCATCTTGGCGGCTTTTCAGCTCTCGGACGAAATTCAAGAATTAATAGACTCCCAGAAGTTTTTCAGAGTAAGTAATTTCATTATTCCATTTATTTTTTAAAATTGCTTAAATGACTCTTTGTTAATAACTAATTTTTCAACTTGTATTTTCATCATTTTAATTCCAGCTACTTTTTATCCCAATTCTCCGACTTTTATTGGTTGTAAATGAAGACCAGGTTTCTCCTCTTATTCTTGGATAGTCTCTTTTTACTGCGGCAGTTAACTTCCCGATGAAACATCCAAATTCCTATTTTCTCCGATCGAAAATTTAAATTTAAAATTGATTGGAATAATTTTTCTATAAATCGCTAAAATCCTCCATATTGACAAATCTGTCAACACAACTTAATTTTCTATATTAAAAAAAAATCTTTAAAAAATAAAATCTTTTCTAAAACGCTTAATCAATCTGAAGTGAACAAATATTACTTTAAATTTAAAAATATCGCAGAAAAGCATTTTTAACACGGAAGTGTTTTTTTACGAGCTGCTGACACATTTGTCGATAACCTGATGTTTGCGAATTTATGTAAGGGTGGGGGTAGAAATAACTAGTAAAATTACATGATGGATAAAAAAGTAAATGCTCTTTCCTTTTTTTTTTTCTTTTTTCTACTTTTTTTTCTTTTTTCTACTTTTTTTTTTTCTTTTTTCTACCTTTTTTCTTCTTTTTCTAGCTTTTTTTTTTCTACCTTCCCGTAATCTTAAAAAATTAAAATATTCTAAACATTCTGATGTTTTATTGAATTTAAGGTATTTTGTCTTTATCGTCTTATTTACAAAGGAAATATTAGAAAATTACCAATGAATTTTGAATTTACTAGTTACCGCTCTTATTTAAAAAAAAAAAAAAAAAAAAACTCTGTACGCTTATGCACAAAAAATTACTGGTTGTCATAGAATTGTAAGCTTTTCATTTATGATTAGTAATTGTTTTTATTTAATATATTCCATGACCGCTACAAATTAATAAACAATTTAAATTTTTATAAATTACTCTAAAAATTTTAAAAGATGAAAACAATTCTTGCAAATATTAATTATTCGCAGAAATCTTTTTCTTAAGACAATAGTGTCCATAATATATTTTATCCGTAAAATCAATTCGTTTTGAACCATCCAAAACTGATTTAAATTCAAAAGAATTTCTCGAAACTTTATATGGGGCAAAAAATAAAATAGTTACCAAGATTTTCTAAAAACAAAATATTTCAACAATAATTTATCTGTGAATAAGTCATGAAAGTTTCATTAAAATCCGACAATTATTTGATTTTTGCAAGAATTTTTCCAAATCCGATTTTTTTTTTTTTTACATAATTATTTTTGCTCTTCTTAACACGAACATTGACTTTCAAACTTTTCAAATTTTAAATTTTGGGCATTTTTTTTCATCAAGTATCTTTTTATTTATTTATTTTTCTTTAGCGATTTTTGGGATTTACCTAATGCTATATATGTGACCGTATCCGGTCCACATGAAAAAAAAAATCATTGACGCAAGTGCAGCACCAAGTATAAAAAAAAAAAAAATATCAAGAGAATTTAGAAGAATTTGCCAATACAGTAGTATCTTTAGATATGAGCGTACCAACAGACGAGTTTTTTGAGATACGAGCCGGAGTTCAATTTTTTTTTTTTTTTTTTTTTTTTTTTTTTTTTTTTAGATACAAGAGATTTTCATTTTCTGTTGTGTTGTCATTTTTGCCGTTATTTTGCAAAATTCCTTTATTTACACCATGGATCCCAGTACGTGTAAAGCGCAGTGGTGAAAAGCTGAAACGTATGATTTCGCTTGAAGTAATACTGGGAAAAAACAGGAAGACGTACGATGGATATGGCGAGACAGTATGACCGTTCTACATCGACGATAAATAATAAAAAAAAAAAAAAAGTTACAGTAATGGATAAAATGTAAATGTTAAAAAAAAATGTAAAAATTAATATATATATATATATATATATATATAATGTTTGTAAGTATGGACGACCATACACGACATTATCAGAAAATAAGAGCGATGACTATAGTAAATTTTAAGTCAACATTCCTAAAATTAGCTTACGGAGAATATTTTCCAACATTTTTAAGATTACTGAACACTTACAAATTATATATAAGGCGCAAGCATATTTTCTTAAATTGTTTTACAAATAAAGTCTCTGTAGAACAACAATCAATGTCATCACCTTGTTATCACTCATCAAACAAGTAAACCTAGTTACTATTGGTTAAAAAAAACCGGTACGGTTTCTTTTCAAAAATGCATTTATGTTATTTGAAACTTAAAGTAAATATTTGTTTAAAATCAGATTAATTATACTTTAAATCAGTGAATATTTCACAAATAGTTTCAGAAAAGTATATTTTATTTTTGAAAGTTTTTTTTCTTAAAGATAATTTCATTGCGATGAAAGACGACAAAAAAAGGGGCGCTAATCGGCTTTTTTAGAAAAAATGAAAAATTGATTCCGATTAATATAATTTCTGTTTGAAATACACCAGATTATTTTACTTACTGAAAATAGTAAATTTAAACCTTTAGCTTTCAATTAAAGCTAAAATGAAACTTCAAGAAGGTTTTTTAATTTATAAAATTCAGTTGCCAATTAGTCATTTCTATTAGTTGGACTTTCAGCCATTTCACGTTGAAATACGTGTTCTCGTACGTTAAGCAATGTCGAGTCTGGTCAGTACCTAGATGGTCTGTAAGCTTTGAGTATGTGGGTAGTGTAATTAATAACTGCTCGAAATTGAAAACTGGAGAACCGGTTGGGTCATTGTTATATTCATTTACGCGCAAATACCGTTGGGGAAAGTATGAATCCGCCTCTTCTCTCTCCCCAGCTATGGGTTAATTAGCAGGACTTGTATCATTAAAAATCATTATCTCAAAAAAATTCTTTCAATCTAAATATATTTTCTGGCTTTAAATAATCCATAAAGGGTTGATATGCTGTAAATTGGATCTATTTTTTTTAAGTAGGTAAATATCTATTTAATCTTTTTTAATTTTGTGCGGGTCGAGCCCCTTACATCGAAATAAAGATAGTACGGAAGATTAATAAAGAGATCCTTAGGGTAATGAGATCTGATGTTCATCAAACAGGTTCAATGTAAAAATCCAGAAATTTCCCCCACTCTGTCACATTGCTTTTTATTTGTTCATTTTTAAATTAAGAGTTTTATAAAATGAAAAAAAAAATGCCTCTAAATTCTTTAAATATTGAATTTCATTTGCAGACTGAATATTATGCTTTGATCACTAAGCTGGATAATTTCGTTGTGAAACTCCTGAACCACATTTACACTCAAGCAGAATTGGAATTGATCATTAATAAAGTGGGTAAAAGCAACGAAGAGAAATACGAAAATTTGGGACGATTGAAATTGGCGATCAGATACCAAAAGAAACAGGTAAACCATTTCAAACTTTGATAAAATGCCTCCGTGAGAAAAGCTGCTGACAAGCCTTCTGGTACCACGATATATATATATATATATATATATATATATATATATATATATATATATATTATTTTAAGGTCTAGTTAAGTTAACCAGCCTCAAAGAGGCGGTAAACTCGGCAAATCGAGCTATCCAGGCTACTGACGTTTTTCGCATAGTAAAAACGTTACAATTTCCCTTCCGCTCTGCCGTGCGACGATAGCTTGGGGGTAGAATCTGACCGATACCAAATCGGTTGGGTTTCGATCCCGGCTTGAAGCAGTCGGATGTCTAGTCACACTGATGAGTTGTGATACAGCATGACTGTGGATGACACACACACTATATATATATATATATATATATATATATATATATATATAGAGAGAGAGAGGGACTTGCAGCTCTGTTTTTAGAATCGAATAGTCAGACTACTCGTACAAGATTTTATTAAAATAAGTGTTGTAATTTTTGTAGAAGTTTAATAAGCGTGCTATCGACAGAATCATTCGAAAAGTCAGCGTGCCAAATAAGCACCGTCGGGGTTGAAGGAAATAATTTAATAGTGTCTGCACGTATATGTGGTAAACAAGGGTAAAAAGTTACAGTAGTTCCAAAAACACTGAACTGGAGCGCACACTACACACGTGTACCCTCATAAACTAATAGAGAAATAATATTTTCTAAAAATATTTCTTGACTAATTTGAGATTAGTATTTATTCCATCTTGATTTTGTTTTACTGTAACGTCCATATCTCTATTTTAGTCATTGATCGTTGTGACAAACTGAGTTTTCTGAGAAAAATTTTTTTTTAAAATAGCCTCGACTCTACTTATAGCTTATAAAATTCTCATAAAATATGAAACGAAAATGTGCGTGGCTCGATAATTGATTATTCTCACTGTGACTCTGCTTATAAAGACCTGCGATCGGAACTTCGTGACTTCCAATTAAATATCACTTGATCCTGAAAGTTTTTATTTATTGACTTTTCTATTTTTAACCATAACACTTTTTGAGGCTTTTTGTCGTATGAGTGTCCAGTAGCTCAGTTCTTAGAAACAAATAGCCAACTACCTACACATAGGATTCGATTATAGTGGTAAAGCCTGGTATAGATACAGTGAACTTTTTAAAATTCATTTTTTTTTTTTTTTTTTTTTTTATAATTTCATTTCGCAGTTTGTTGTCCATCCTGCCATCCAACAGAGACTCGTTTATACCTGGTACGCTGGCAAACCTCTTCTAGAACATTCTGGATTGTTCCAGAAACTCTGCGGAATGTTATTGGTTCTCATTTTTTATCCAGTCCTGCTTGTGGCACATCTAGTAAGACCAAAATCCCAGGTATGTTTCTCTTCTCTTTCAGCGGAAATTACTTGAAGCATTTAAATTCTTTGAAAAGTTTTGAAATCACTTGAAATATTTAAATGAGCGTCATCGCAATTTGAAATATATTTCTTGCATCTTGAGATTCCTGATATTTTAACGAATTTAAAACTTTTCGACTTGAATTCTTTGTTAGCAAATACAAGCGCTATCTTGTATAGTCGTGCCAGCTAAAATAAGCGTTGTAATCTTTATAGAAGTTTAACAAAAAGAACATAATTAGCGTGCCATGGACAGAATCATTAAAAAAGTCAGCGTGCCAAATAAGCACAGTGTGACTTTCAATATCCTCAAAAGTTATAGCCAGCGTCAAGTATCTACAATAAGTATAATTCAGTAACTTTGAATTTCTAGTAGCTTACTAGAATTTACTGAGAAGGCTCTTTCGTTGATCAACTGAAGGCTAAGAGCTAGAGGCTAATTCCTCTCTTGATTCCTAACTCCAGATTATCAACTAAGGTCTTAGACACTACTACATGTACAGGGTGAAGTGGATAAATCCTCGTCTAAATTACGCAAAAATGAAAATAACACTATCTCATTTTAACAGATATATTTACCACAATTACACAAATATCTTGAAATAAAGAAAATTTATTCAACAAAATCGCCCTTGGCTTCAACCACAACCTTCAGACGACTTTGGAATCTCCTTCAACTCTTTTGAACGGTCTCCTTGTTTAAGTTGGTGAATGCTGCCATAATCCTTGCCTTCAGTTCATCTTCGGTGTTACAAGGAGTTTTATTAGTCTGTGGATTTAGGTTGCCATATGTAAGGGGTGATGTGGTCGCAGAAATTGTCTGGCAGCCATGACTGGGTTCTCCTGCTTGTGTGGCATGGTGCAGTCATGTTACCAGACATAGTTTTCCAGCAGCCACCCTCTTTACCGTTTCCAAATTTCTGGCAGTGAATTGCGTCATGGTGCTCTTTTTCTCGCAGACGGTACCCAACTGACCCTACTATACTGTGCTGTCGACAAATTCAAAAACAAGCAACGCGCATGCGCGAAATAAAAAATAAAATAAAATGGTGCACGCTGTATATTTTCTGGAAAAAATGTTACGCTATTCTATATTTAAAGTCAATAAAAAAAAATAAAATGAAAATATAAAGACGACTCGTACGACTGACCTTTTTTAAGAATTTAAGGGAAAACAAATTACTGTTTTGTAAAACCTAAGTGTTATTTACATTGTTCGAACTCTTGCCCTCATTTTTGTTGCCATATTCTCGACGTTTCGGCCATTGTACGCTCTGCCCTTCTTCAGGTGATTGTATTTTCGAACCGAACCCTTTATTTCGTCTACATGGGTAGATTGTTCTAGTTCCACGTGCCATGCCTGTTCCAGATATCTCAACAATGCTTTTTGTGTCCCTTAATATGGTAACAAAGATGAGGACAACCGTCCAAACTATGTACCTAGTGTAAATAATTACAATACCTCATCTCAGGAATATAGACAGATACTGCAATGTGTTTCATTGACAAAGAGTAGGTTAATTTAGCGCAGCGGAGGGGTGCTTAAGGAACAAGCATTCAAATGGCTAAAACTGCTAAATTCTACGTAATTAATAATAATGTTCCAGAGTCATTGTAGATCTGTCAGATGGCATAACTTTAGAGATTTCCAGTATTTAAACATCCATTTCGGAAGAGATGTTTTGATATACAGTGTGGCAGAAATAACTCTCACATAATGGTAAGACATTAGTTAGAGGAAGAAATCATTGCTACTAATATCTTACCATTATGTAAGAAGTATTTCTACCACACACTGTATAAATACTGTTTTTGGTTTATAATTAGAAATGTTATTGAATACAAGGGCAAAGGATCTTGAAGTTGCTAAAATTTGCAGTTGTGGGAACTGATCTTTTATTTTTATTTTTCAGATGGGAAAGATCCTCGTGTATCCATGCATAAAGTTCATGTGTCATATCCTCTCGTTCATTGTTTTTCTCTCCTTGATTGCGATTTCGTCACTGAACCAAGAGAAATACTTGGGCCAAAGATTTTCAGAAGTCCTACCGGATATCTATGACCAATATGTCACGTTCAGGAACGCCTCGAAGATGGATTTCTTTGGTCAAGATTTCCCCCTGCGGAAATCGTCAATCAATGAAGTAGAGGTGATGTTATTTATTTTTGTTTTAGGTACGTACGTTTATTTTTTTTTATTTTTTTTTTTAATCCCGTCCTCTGCCGTGACTTCAAGATCGGCCAAAATAGATGAGAGAGAAAGAGTTGGAGATACACACACACATATATATATATATATATATATATATATATATATATATATATATGACAATGTATGTATTAACAAAACTATACATAGACAACAGGAGATTGTGACAAGGCAATGAATTTGAAAGAAAACATTTAAGCTAGTAAAGATGTTTGCGTAGAAGTGTAACAAGCGTGTGTGAGAGAGATCAAAAGTCAACAGAGGACCAAAAGAAGCGAATGCGCCTCAGTGGCAGCGATCTTATCCACGTGCGACCTACACTTGAAAGCTATAAAAAACAAACTGGAAGAGAGGATGACACAGAATTCATAGGTTTAGGGAGCGTCCCCTAGCGACGGTTTTTAGGAAAGTAAGTGGGGATAACCCCGCACTCTCGAACTGACAGTAAAAACATTACAATACCTTCTTTATAATCATGCTGTTTTTTTTTCTTTCAAATCTGCTGTAATTTCTGTGTGAGACAAATTGTGATAGATCAGTACATATCTTTGTATATAACTTTTTGTATCTCGTTCTGTTTATAAAATGTTTTTAGGTACAGCCTCATTTTTGGAATTCATTTCTTTAAGTTATTCGAGTCATTCCTTCTGCCGTGTTAAGGTGTTGGTATATCATGGATATGCCTAATGTGGAGCTTGGAGAATGGAAAAAAAATATTTCTCTTTCTAAGCAACATCTGCATATGCGAGGAAATGTTACTCGTTCGTCCGAAATTGGTAATCTTTTAGATTTTCTTTTTATATACCATCGGCTTTCTTAGCTGCATTTTATTTTTCTTAATATAACTGTAATGTTAAACAAGTTTATTCGTGATAAATTTCTTTTCTCTCTTCAGGGTTCATCTTACAAGAAATTAATCAGCTTTATGAAGATGGCGTCAAAGACTATTTCTCTTCAAGTTACAATATCGTCGATTTTATTATGTTGGCATTTTATTTTCTCTATTTTGCTTTGCAGGCTTGCATTTTGTACAAGGTGAGTGTGCAATGAAAATGTTCATTAACGCTATAAAAATCTCTCTAAATAGAGAAATGTTAATGTTATATACTGCGTATGGATGCAAAAATATCAATGTATTGCCGATGAAGCGGGCGGAAAAGGAGACATTAAATGAAGCGTATTGTCAACGTAGGCAGTGAAATGAGTGTAGAATGTCTCTTGTGGACAAAGAGATCAGGATATTGTAAGATGGGTATGAGGATGTGTACTGGCCTTGAGTTGAAGCTGATGGCGAAAAGAGATTGTTGCCATCACCTCACGTCAGACTGGTTGCATAAACTGTCTCGAAAGCCGCGAGCGGGCTCTTTAATTCACTCAGAGTAGATATATGGCTCAGCATTTTTGTCAGGCTCTTGTAGTAACAACTTTTGTGATTTCTTTTTTAATCGACGTGTAAATGTTCTTTTTTTTTTTTTCTTATGTATTTTTTAAATTTTGAGAGGGGGGGAAATGCGTGTAGCCTATGCACAGAAAGCAACATTTTTATTTTATCATAGGGTTCATATCATGTCAACATATTTTTCTGTAGAGTGAATCAGAAACCGGTCTAATAATATTTCAAACAAATCCCAAATAAACAGTAGCAATCACAAGTTAACCTTTAAAAAACAAATGTTCACTCCATGATATTGGTCAGTGTCATCAACACGCACTTATATATATATATATATATATATATATATATAAACGTTTCATTAAATCTAGATTTGATATTGCGTTTCGCCTTTCTAGGCTTCATCAGTTTTAAAAACGAAAGAAAAATGTTTGTGTATATGCTTAAATGATGAAACATTACTTTTTCCAGGAGCTGGCATTTCTCATGATTAAAGAAAAGAATGAAAATATATTTTTCCCAGCTTTTTATGTCGAATTAAAGGTAAATACTCGTATCATTTTCAGAATGGCTCGAAAGTAAGAGATTCATATAGTCTTTTTCTGAAATGAATTCATTGCAAATCCTCCAATTCTTCAGAATTCGACTCTGAAGGACACATGGACAGACCGAAAAACATGTCTTTTACTTTCAACCCATATATTAATAGCTTTCGATATGAACTAAGAATTATAAAGAAAAAAGATATAGAATAAATATTAATGGCTTTTTTTCTTCTTAGTCACTCATTTTCATTCTTTCCTTTAGTGACGAGAAATGTCTCCACCCCCAATCTCGTACATAAATTATTCTGTTTAACGCATATTCATTGAATATAATTCAAGAATTTCTTTTGCGCTTTGAGGTTACGTTTCTTTTTTTCTTTCTTTCTTATTTTTAATTCGTAGATAAATTTGCATTTTATTACCCACTCAAAGTATTACACATGGATTTTAAAATGTTTAAAATTTTGTTTAAATTTCAGAAGGACAAATCGACTAAATATTTACGACAAAATCTAAATTCCAGTGCACATTTTGATGAATTTTTGTACCAAATCTACTGGCTGAATGCGGGTGAGTGTTTGTTTTTTTTTTTTTTGTTTTATTTTTTTTTTTATCTCCTCCTCCTCGAAATAATCCCTATTGGATCGTTTACTTAGCATTGTTATGTTTGAAAATTCAGCTTCTGTTTTATTCTATACCACACCCCCACAACTATAATCTATATTAGGGGCTTACTTTTTCCAAGTGCCGTGTCTCTTCAGTACATAGGCAATCGGTCAATCTTGGACATCTTTAGGGTGGGTTCCAATGTAGGAATACAGAAGGTGATTATCTTCCTTTGATCGAGATGAAGTGTCGAAAGTGGCCAGTCAGTCGACTTCCAGAAATCAAAAGCAGATGCTTTTTTTAGCCTCGGCTGTCTAAATTTGTCTCCCCTAGACATATGGTGCAGCTTTACGTTTTCCAATGGAAATCTATCTTCACCAGATATAGAAAATATCCCCGACTCACACTCCTCATGTTGGAAAAACCCAGGAATCGCCGTTTCCCATTTGTGGAATATGTCCTCTAGACAAAGCAGGTGAATGCGTCTCTCTCGAATCCTAAATATGGTTTCTCCAGAAACACACAAGAATCTCCAGCAGCTCGAGTTCTCATTGAGAATTATTATACGTAAGAATCTTCTCGTTCTCTTTTCACACTGCTTGCCGTGTTCACATGTATTGTAGTTTCTCTGTGTGGAACACGTGTAAATATGTATATACTATTTGTGTATAGCATAAAATTCTCTCTGAGAACAAAGCATGTTTGTCATTCTTTTTTCTTTCGGCCATTCGGTTCCGTCCATGAAATATAGTGTTATTATATCACTGATATAATAATGCCCATAATGGGGGAAATACAAATGGGTGAATAAATCTTTCTTCCATATTGCACCCATCAACAGATTTTTGAAGTTGTCAGATGTTTCGCAGACCTAATCGAAAAAAGGATGCAGTAAAATTTGAAATAATAAAAAAAAAATGAGTAATATTAGGCATAAAGTTACCTCCTCCTTGGCTCCTTAAACCGGAAGAGAACAGGTCATTTCGACCTTGACCTTTCGGTTATGCTCCCTAAACGCTGTTAACCCGAGGTAGACTAGCAAGTTACCTTTTCAGTTTAGTTATATTACGAACCTAGTCGTAATATAGTTCTATGCATTTTTAGGCTTTGGTTTTCTTTTAGCTAAGCTCTACTCATTTTTTAGATAGACTTTACTGTGTCAGCTTACCAATTCTCTTGCTAGTCTCCCTTACCACAAGACAGTGACTTCTCGCTAAATTTAGGGTTGGCGACTGAAACGGTCGGTACGCAGACTCCTGGCCTCCCATTTTTTTTTTTTTTTTGTCTGCCAACTTGACGATATTTGGAAACTTTCCTTCTCTCTCCCCTTCGCCTCTTACTTCTGGCTCCCTGCCAATGTTCGACTCTCGGCATTCCATCCCTACTGGCTGCCCGCACGTCGTCCATAACCTTTCCCGTACACTACGTTAGTAATTATTACGGGAGGTTACTAATATCGGACTCGACCGGCAGACACGCAACGCCTGCACTGGGCCTTTGACATGCCCGAACAACATCGCAACGCCAGCTCCTCTTTCCTTCCCAACACGTCAAGTTGGCATCCCGGCAACGACCAACATCAACCTCAAACTACAATAACCAGCAGCGATCATTTGCATCGACCAGCAGCTACCACCTGCATGACCAGACAACCAACCTCGACCATCAATGCCTGCACCGGAGTAGAATAAATTAGCTTAGATCTTATATATCCTCGTTCTGTCATCTGTTGTTTCACCTTGTCAGATTTAACCTAATCGAAAATGCTAGCGGGCCTCTTGTGACCTCATCACCCTTTTGCGATACGGGGGCGCCAGAGGGGCCCGCTACACACCGATAATCATTCTTTTTTTTTTTTTTTCTCCACCAGGCCCAAACTTTCATAAACAGCGATAATTGATTAGTGGTGTTAGTTCACCCATTCTCTAATCTTAGTTGTTTATGGAAGGAACTAAAATAAAATTGATCCAGCATTTCAACAATAGAAAGAAAAACATTTTCCACCACCAAGAGAATCGAAACTCCTTTTAGAATGGTAACAAACGTAATATATTAAAATTCAATCACTATATTTTAAAAGCCTTAAAGTTAAAATTAAATTTGACTGCAATATGTTTTTAATTTGACCATCATTTCCTTTTCCTTACTAAGCATATTTTTTCTTTTTATTGATTTGTGTTGGACTTGAAGGATGTGGAAATAGAGGAAGATTATATAACGCTAGATTTTCTTGTTTCGGGTATATAAGCAACATAAGCACCAATAAGTTGGAGGGCATCCAGTAGATAAAAAATATCAAGAAATCCGTATGTAGTAAGGTTTTAGGGACATATAACTAGTGTCACATACACGAGGGATAAATGTATTGATAGTGTGTTCTTTATATCTGGTTTTCCGCACGTTGAGAGCGCTCTGTCCCAACTGAGGAAAAACTGATTATATAGCTCTCCCAGACCTATGGTGACTATTGACTAATACTTGACCAGTATAGTTCATATGCAAATAGTTAGAGCCACCTACTCTAAGTAGTTCTTCTCTCAACAGCCCATTGTGGAAGAGGACGTAACTCCTGTTGCTTACAGCACCACACACAACCAACTCTACTCGCATATCGGATTGACCCAATTCTCTGTTACAAATATAAAGAGTATTATGTATTCTGTTGCGGTATGCTGTTCTAGTTGGACTAAAAGCAATGGCAAATAAAATTTACATATGTAAACGACGCATCGTCATTGACAGTACAGCTGAAAAGAAATGGAATAAATTTCAACAAGGCAATATTTCTATGGGTTTCTATATAACTATTAGCTGATTAACAAAGGAGGTAGAATACACTAGTATGCACGTACATATGTCTGAAAGGAAAGACATTCAAAAATTTAAGAATTGTGTGTGTGATATACGCGTGCGTGAAAGAGTTCAGATAACCAGGGAAAGATAGTATCCCCAAGCTGGCAACATGTCTCGTGTTGGAGTTGTGACTACTACTACATAGTGAAAGAAAAGCAGGGAAAAAGTGAAAGAAAGAGGAAGTGTCCCGTTTTTATAGCTGTTTGACAGCGCCACCTAACAGCGTCTTGACAAAACCAAATGGGTGTAATATCTCAATTCAAAACAAATTCGAGAGCAATAACAAGATGAAATAACCTAACCTTAACTTTACAGAAGCGTTTTTATTTCTATTTAGAAAAAAAATAGAAATTCTATAGAATAGATTTCTATTTAGTTGTCATGAATCTTTGCACCCAACTCTTATAATTTCATTTTATATATTAGGAATGGCCTCCTTCTTTGCAGACAAATGATGTGATCATGTTGTAGAATGTTGATTAGAACGTCGGGTTGACCAATTGTAGTATGTATTACTTCTTGAGTGTTGTGGTCACCAATGTTGAATGGGTTAAATAGATAATGTGGCTGCGTGTTGAGAACGTAATAAACATTCATACATAATATTTAAAACATCAAGGAAAAAACAATGAGAACCAATTTTGTTTAACGAAGAAATATATGTATATTCAACAATAATACAAAGTAGTTGTAATATGGGTGAAAAAGGGAGGAAAAAAAAGTAGCTTCCTCTTGACTGTAAGGAAATGTTTTAAAGATTTGTTTGAGTAAAATGTTCAGAGTTCAGTGTTGAAAATAGAATATTTCTTTCAGAAAATTGTTCAGTTGTTGCAACTTAGAGTTGATTTAACTGAGAACTAGTAGTATATCAAACAAAGTTCTGTATTGTGTATGTACGTGTGGAGTGAGTAGGATGAAATACACGAGCGAGTAGATGAGATCTATTGTCTCTGGGTACACTCGACTGTGGTTCTGGAACTACTACTATTTTTTTTTTTTTTTTGTTTGGAATGCATCCAATATTTATACTACCTAGGGTGGCTCCCAGCAGAGGCGCTGGATATATTTTTGAATATACATGAAAAATATCCGATTGGACGGAAAATGGACCAATCAGCGATTTTGTAGCAAAGCTTGTTTTTGAACAAAGTGTAGGAACAAATTTACTATGGTGGAAAGCGATAGATAAATTGTCCTGTTATTTTTCAGTATGTATTTATTGACCAATTAGAATTGGAGAAAATGTAGGCGTGGCACTACAATGTGACTTAAGTCCTGATTAACTTTTGCGGGCTTTCCTAATTTTCGTGTAGAACATCTCAAAGGCAAACGGTCACAAAGATTTTGGATAATGGATTTGTGGGACGCTAATGAGATTTGGTAAGAAATGTATCAAAAGGGTTTTGTTGAAGGTTGCATTTTGAAATTAGCACACCACATTTAATTTGCAAAGAAACCTGAAAAAGAATGACAAGAGATCATTGAATGGTCAACAAGAAAAACATGTATTGAAAACAAGTAAATATACAATTGTATGACAATAAGGTTTGAGACGTAAAAAGTTGTTCTCCTTATATCGTGTGGGAATACAAATATGTGTCGTAAGAACTTTTCTTGTTTAAATTTGTTTAGAGTTCAAGAATATTTGATACTTGAGTTAGTTTGAAAGTGAGAATGTTGTGCGAATGAATGATAGTCTTGAATAGTTCACTTGGCTTTTGAAACACAGTTAGGTGTTGTGTGTATGTAACTTATGTCTGTGTGTGTGTTTGAGTAAAAGATTGAGAATACACGTACGTGGTTAAAGGCTCTGAAATTTAAGTCTACTAATGTTCTTTCTTTAATTTCTGCTATATATACACATAACATAAGCTCCAGGGACGAGAGCGGGAAAAATATTGAAAAAAATGTCAATTTATGTGACTGGTCAAAAATCGACCAATTGTTGATTTTTCTACAAGTTTGGTAAGGTAAAACATGAGAAAAGTTGATATGGCTCATGCGATGCGTAAATTGTCTTTAAAGAAAATAGTGTTTATTTTCTGTCCAATGACTGCTGAGTAATTTGTGGGCGTGGCGTATGTAAACGTCCACTACAGATTCTTATTTCATGAATAACGTAAGATGCCGAGGAGAGTTGTTGTTAGATTTGCCATATTAAAGGTGGAATAAAAGTAAAAGGATGTGTAGAAATGAGTAAAATGGACAGAGGAAGATGATACATTTGTGCTTACAGACAAGGATTTTTTTCTAACTTGTATGACAGAAGAGTAAAATGTAATTGTCGGAATTATCGAACTTAGTCGCAAATTTTCTCAACAGGTGTTCAAATATCTTTTCCTGTCGATCTATCAGAAATTCACATGGTAAAATAGCTTGCACACATATAAATTGATAAAACTTCAAATTGCGAAATATTAACCTTTTCAAAACTCGTAAACTCTTAAAACAGGGTAAGATAGACAAAGTTTGCGAGTTCTGGTGTAAAACAATGTAATATAAGGATTGCTGTCAGAAACAGCATAGCTGGTCTTGTCAGACGAAGTGTACCTATTTTGTATTTTATAAGATGCTTAATGTAGACTAAATCCGTTTCTCTAAGCTATTAAGACTAGCATACAGTATGAGTTTTCAAAATATTAACTTTTTTTATGTTCATCAGAATATATTCGGTGACAGCAGTTTTGTTTTGTGGAATCATAACTTGATTCAGCCATTATATCACACTCTTTGTATCTAATGAATCCCTTTTCCTAGATAGAAAGAGGTAGTATTTGCTCTACCTTGTGTGTATGTGAGAGAGAGATTGACCTGTTTCTCTCACTCACTGAAAATTATGTTCAGTCGTAACATCCGGGTAATTCCAATATCAAGTTCAAGTTTGCAACACGAGCACTGTGAACAAATCCTTTTGACAATACCGCGAACTCTATTCGTACGGGATGCAGGACCACTCTTCTCTTGTCCTCGGTTTGAAGAAAGTGTTTGTCAAGTGGCTAGGTGGGGAGAAATCCTATTTCTAGTTTCCGCTAGACCACCTATGAACCGTTGGGTCAACCTTGTTGTGTTTACTGTTTGCATTTAGTTTCATAAAGAGTTCGTGAAAGTAGAGATATTTCAAAAAATACATTTATTTGCAGTTATTGAAGTTGCTTTCAACATTAAAAAAATGTTTGTTTGAAGAAAGTTGAAAATAAGAACTTGGAATGTCAAAATTGGAAGTGTTGGGATTCGATAAAATAACATAAAATATTGTGGGGCTGTGCATAATTCGGCCGTTTAGAATCAAACGATTTTCATTGAAAGAATAAAATTCAGTAGAAAAGACAACGTAGTTTCAACAATTGAACATTAACAAGAATAATACAAGCACGATAATAAATTTACATCTTTCTTTCCCCCACTCTCTATATATGACTTCTTGGAAACACACAAGATACAAGTTCAGAGTTTTATAGAGTAATAGAAAATAAGATGTTAGTAAGCGAGGAAAAAGCAGTTCTTTTTATTCAACTATATATTGTAAAGTTCTAATAAATCTTTTTAAAAGTATTAACTGTTGCAATACCTATTAAGACGCTCGCGCATGCCGATTGCGGCCAAAAGCTAAGGAAGCAAAGTATCAAGAACCAAATTTGAATGTTTCTTTTAAAATAAATGAATAAAAGGTCGACGCCAGTTTAACCGTCGTTGATTTCCTCTTCAGATCGCTACTATTGGGATATGTATGACCCGGATAATATTTCGGATGCAACTCATGCTTTGGCCAATATTCTGACATTTGCCAGAATCTCTTACGTATTGCCGGCGAGCTCAACTTTAGGACCATTGCAAATTTCACTTGGCAGAATGATCAAGGTAAATGACAAATTGTTTCCTAGTCTCTAACAATTTTTTTTTAACAGATCACGACAGCTATTAGGGAGATGTGATTAATACACTTTAATGTTTAAAAGAAATTATCCAGAATTATTATTATTATTATTATTTAGGTAATAAGCATTATAACATAGCACAATTGTGGGGAAAAAGAATTTTCGACAATATACGTGTTTTTTAACTTTTATCAAAAACGACATTCTTGTACATGTAGTGTTGGATAAAATTATACATTAATTGCTAATTTTGTTTAAATTAATAATTATTTGTGCCCAGTTGTTGACATGAATAGCTATCTGCTGATGTGTTAAAATTTTGGATTAATGCAATAATAAAAATTTAAATTTCATCTCTGATAGATGTCGCGATCTGTAAATAACTTTAATTGCATGACTTTTGAATGTCTGGCAATTTCGCTCCTATTTTTATTCCTTATTTGTGAATTTTTACGTTTTATGCTTTTACTTTTTTTTTTTTTTTTTTTTTTTTTTTTTTTTACACCTTTTGCAATTTTACTCTCAAAGATTTTGAAGAGTTTTGCTCAGTCTTGAACCTAGGTACCGAATAGTATTTTGTGTCTGATAATTTAGTAGGAATCATTTCAAAATGATTGTTACTACATTTAATTAACATAATGGATTTTTACCAACTGAATTTACTTTCAAGCAAGAAAATAAAAAAATGAGCGCTTGATATAAAATGTATTTGTTTATTTTCCAGGAAATCGCCAAGTTTCTGATTCTTTTCTCTTTGATCCTGTTAGCCTATATCCTCGGCTTGCAAAACCTTTTCTGGTATTATGGAGTTCATGAAAAAATCGAAATCGTTCCCAGGAATCTGGATGTGAGCGCTCGAGAGAACTTTGGAAAGTAAGTGGGGAATTTATTTATTGTAGTAAGGAAATATAAAGTGTGTATATGCGTGGAAGGGGGTGTATTATATGTGGATCCATATATTTGTCATATCAGTGTCTGTACAAGTTATCTATAAAGTCATTCATCCATTTGAATGAAGTACATTGATAACATGAACGATTAGTAGCACTTATTGGATTACATGTATGTGTCGGGTAGTGTAAATAGTGAACCTTTTAGTAAAATAAACAGTTAATTTGCACCAAAATGTACCATTCTGGTGTGAATTTTCCTGGTTATTTCGAAAATGGCATTAAAACATTGCGCTCGATTACCGTTTAGAAGTTATGGACAATGTAAGTTCGATTTTTTTCTTGTCGAGTACACAGAACGTCCGACATTACTGGCCTTGTTTATGTGATTGCCTCGGGTAGTCATATGGTAGTGTCTTGTCTTGACTACTGCGCAATGCGCGAAGTCTGAAATGAATGCGCGAAAAATGCGCGATCCGACAATTAAAATAAAAATTATGTGCCTGAAAAATAAAAAAAGATTTTTTTTTTTTTTTCAACGAGTTTTCTTTTATTTGTCGAGAAATTTTCTTGCATGAAAAGCTTCATAAATTACATTATAGGTAGAGATTCATTGGCTATAAGTAGATTTATTAAGGACAATAAAGAAAAATACGCTTTATTTAAAAATTCATTTTAAAAAAATAGGGCATTTTAAAAATAACATCCGAAAATCACGCAGTAATCAAGACGAGTAAGATGATAAAAGCTGTGAAAAGGCTGTTAACCAAGTAATCTTCCGCGCATTATTACTAGTTTTAACGTCATTTTAGAAATAACTAGTCAATTTCACACCAGAATGGCACATTCTCAATACCGGGGAGGGGGTTTTTGGTGCTTATGCTGCAAATTAATAAAATAAAACGTTAACTTTAGCAAAACGAATGGACATAATAATAAGCGGAGACCAACAGAAAACAACTAAATTAGTTTAATATGAAAGATAATAATCGGCCAGACATCGTGAACAAAATTTGTTTTCTTATTAACATGGCAATCTCTGTAGATTGTAATGTATCTTTGAAGATTTTTTTTTAAAAAACAAAAAAAAAACATCAAAATACAAGGATATTGAAGTGAAAATCTAAAAAAAATGTGACACATGAGGACATAAATAATTCCAGCTGCAGTTGGAGCCCTCACATTGATTAGAAAAGGTTCTGATAGACTCATTGAAGGGATTCCTGGTAGCTCATGCCTTAAGGAAATACAAAAAATTGTACTCACAAGTACCACTTACACATTATGATGAGCTTTATCTATGTAAAATGTGTCATGTTAGTTTTTTTTTTTTTTTTTTTTTTTTTTGCTTACTTTTTAGTTTCGGTGGTATTGCTATTTTTTATTTGTTTCGGTGGTGTTGCTTTACTTTTTTTTTTTCTTTTATAAAAATGAGCAGTGGAAAATTTCATAAAGCCATTTCTGACAGTGTCTTTGGTTTTGACCTGCTAGGAAATGTGCATACAACATGAATCAAAGTTGATATAAATTGATATTATGATCTAACCGGGTTCATTCTTCAGTACTCTATCGAGTAAAGTAAATTCTTTGTGCACAGCTGAGTAAAAAGGAAACCTGAAAAGAAAATACACGCCTATTCAATAACATATTGTGACGGGTATATATCTCTTAATATTTTTCTAGACAAATCTCAATCGTTCTTTCTGTTTACATAAGCAAGGTTGTTTTGAGTTAATGAAAATAATTTCAAGGACTTTTAAATAGATCATTCTAATATTTTCTTCTCCCCCACCCCCTTCTTTTTTTTTTTTTTTTTTTTTTTTTTTTTTCCTTTCTCTTTTCTGTGTGAATGGAATAAGTTTCTTGGGGGGGGGGACACGATGGTTAAACTTTTGCCAATTTTTTTATTTGATGCATTTATTTATTTATTTTTTTTTTTTTACTTGTTTTTTCTAGTTTTATTAAGACGTTTCGAACCCTCTTCTGGTCGCTGTACGGGCGCGGTGATGCCCACGTTGTGTTATTGGGGAAATTTCAGAATACTTTCACCGAAGACGTCGGCTATTTCATCTTTGGTCTCTACAACATCACCATGGTTACCGTTTTGATCAACATGCTCATCGCGATGATGACGAGAATTTTTGATAACATTACTGTAAGTAAAAATCGGCAGGTAAACAAAACTATAGTTTGTCCAACCAATCAAAGCTTTCACAACCAGTATGTAAGAGAAGAAATAAACAATGAAACCAAAATTTTGTGATCTAGCAGCGACTACTATATATATATATATATATATATATATATATATATATATATATATATAAATGAGAGATATACAAATAGAAAGTCATATATTTGATCCTTAACTCATACTTCCTACTGGCAGGAGCAAGTATATAAATATATTTTTATATACTCATCAGGGGTTATCAGCACGTGTGAAAGAAAAATTTGAAGAGTAAAATCCTAATTTGCTAACAAATATAACCTACAGTAAATAACAATTACACCTGTCCCATAATAGTTGTTACATTTAGTATATGAAATATATATTCAACTATGCCAACACTTGTGGGACAGAAGCAGTATTTTTTCTTTTGCTGGCAAAAAGAAATTTTTTTTTTTTTTTTTTTTTAAATTTCTGCTGTATAAGCTTGAATTTTTTTTCTCTCGCTCCACACACTCCGCTCTCTGTCTCTACGGATAAGTCACGGCAACATCACCTCTTATTTGAAAGTTAACTAATGATTTTCATTTTAAAGGCATGCTCTCTTTTGTCTCCAAAGATAACTGGAACATTACTTTCTTCAAGTTTCATTCCCTCAATTTGTTCTTCTTCAGGAATATGCTGATTGTGAATGGAAGTACGCACGCACGTTGCTTTTTATGGAATATATTGGTGAAGGCTCTACACTTCCGGTTCCGTTTAATATGCTTGGCGTTCCACGTTTTCTCTTCACACTCATTCAATATTTGGTGGCGAATTGCAAAAGTAGAAGCTTTGACTCGGATGCGAAACAAACAGCTTCATCAAAGAATACAAATGTTAACAGCTGTTATGTGGTAAGAAGAGTTCCTTTCGTTCAGTGCTATTTGTTTGTTTATTTACTCTATTAGTTCGTATATTGGAATGGTTGGCAAAACATCGGCTACCTAATTACCAATGGATTCAAATGTTATAAAATGGTAAAGATTTCATTATAGTTAGTCTACATATTTTAGTAAACGTTTATAAATTTGTGAATAAAAAAATTTCTTTATAAATTGGTAAATAATAAATATCGCATAAGTCTTAAATACAATTGTATTAGTTTTTAGAATGTTGCAAATATTATTCTTATAAATAAACAATGTAATAGTGTTTTAATGTTTTTTGTTGTAAATTCTCAAGAACAAAGAAAATGTATAAATTCACTTTCATCATAAGGTCTTTTTACAATTCTAATCATCGCTTTTTAAAACAACAATTTCTGAGGAGTGACGGTAGTTAAAATAACTATATGAAGGGAAAAATTCTTTTAACATTGTCTTCTTTTTTTTTTTTTTTTTTCCAGGCATGAAGGTTAAAGGTTACCAAAAAGTGATACTTTTGTTTTTATTGGTTTTATCTGTGATCCACTCTTTGCACTGATTTGTACAAAATTCAACATTGATAAGTGGTAGCAGGATGCTAAAAGCTGATGCTGACACAAAAGGTTGGCAAAATTTGAGAGGAGATTTGAAAACCTCAGAAGGTGGAAATAGATTAATTGGACCCCTTTTAAGGAAGGGCGCCATAATAATTTAATAGGGGTCTGTGTAGCCAGTACAGTGATAACACTGCATCACATGTTACTAAGGAAGATGTAACGCATTCATAAAAACTTGATTCAATTGCTCAAATTTTTTGAATGATGTCTCGAACCTGAAAATCTTTTTCTGGGTAAGAAAGTCAACCAATTGTTTTGCTGTATGACAACACTGTCATCACAATGCAAATACGATGCAGGAAACGATTAAGATGTTCAGTCTTCTCCAGACGTTCTTGCAGATGTCCAGTCTTCTCCAAGGCTCATACAACAAATTCCCTCAATAATATTCTACGTTGAGTGGCTCTTGGGCTTTTAGTATAAAAAAAAAA